TACAGTAGACAGCATTTCTGTGAACACATCCTTAGATCAAAACTCCAGCAAACATGGTACGTTAAACCCGTCGTGAAGCATCGCTTGGCGTCGCACATCCCATTTCCACGTTCCCTGTGCAAAACGCAGGTTTGCTCTGGGTGGGCCTGTAGTTGTAACTGCTGCTGTTCGTGTTGCTTGTAGCTGTCAGAATTTGTATTGCGTTGCCTGTGCCAAACCTGCTGCTTGTCTCCTGCAGCAGCCCATCGCTTTCGGGGATGTTTTTACTTTCGGAAGGGATCTTGTCACGACATTTAGTAGAAACGTCGTGCAGAATTCCCTGTTAACCAGACTTTTCTTTAAGTGCGACTGTCGCTACTAGTTTTACCTTAATCTGGATTGGAATGCTTCATATATGTTTAAATCAAAAGCTTTAGATTTTTGAGCTTTCTTCCCCCCACCCTGCTGGCCTTAAGGTGATTCATGGGGATTTAAGTCTGTGTGCACGCGTTCTGGTGATGCCTGACACTTTTAGTTGCAGGTTCTGGTGATGAATGTGTATGTTTGCATTCTAAAAATGGGGAGAGCTTAGAAGGGATAGACTAGTACCGTTGCTGCGCTCAGTTTGAGAGGAGGCGGACTTGCTTGCTTCGTATTTCGTTGCAGTAATTAGGATTCGTATGACATTCAACTGTTTCAGTTGCTTGAAATCTCATCCAGTTAAAATTTGAGTCTTACAGCACAAAGGTTCTTGTCTAAAGATAGTTATAAAATGTCTCCAGTCTCCTGTTACTGTTCAGTCTTCGGATTGTTTGGATATTTTTAGATTTGTCAGCTGTGTTACTACTGTGAAATGACTCCCTGCCGTAAGGCTCTAGTGGAGGTGCCCTGCTACTGCACTTGTGAACTCCAGCGGGTTGTTACCTCCAGGAGTCGAAGGGTTGGTGTTACTTTAGATGTAGCTGATGTCTGCTGAACAGTATCAGGAATTCGATTATTTGAACTCCCTATTGCACTGAATCCTTAGTGAGTGTCATCTGTTTCCTCAGCACTGCAGAACGTTCTTGGCTTTGCTGCCTGGTAACTTTTAAACTTCTCCTTACAGGACTTGCACAAAATCAAACAAATTTTGTACAGTGCTTTTGTTCCTTTGTCCCCAGTGATCCTTTTGGTTTTTTTCCCCTCCCAGGAATATGAGTAGAATTTATGGAGCTTTTCAGTAGCTAAAGGTCCTTCAGATTTTGTAGGTGTTTCTTCCAAGAGCCCTCCCATCACAGACAATATTCGCTGCCCCCGTTATCTGGTTGGGCTCTTAGGGAATGCTCTTACCCCCTTGAATTAATACTTTACTTAAATTTACAAAGTATGCTATTTTAGTGAGATGATTTTGTGGGAGATCATTCTTACAGTTTTCTCCTGAATTATTCAGAGACAGTTCATTTTAGATTATATAATCCTGTATGACTTCCTATATAGCTTGACACTGCGGGAGGGCAGTATGCTGCTGTATATTTTGTGAATATACACAAGGGCACGTTTCTGTATATAGACGGGTATAGAAAAATACTCAAATTTGCTACGAAAAATGTTTGACTACTGTTTGTGGGTTTTTTTTTTCCTTTATAGGTGCTATTTCAAGTGGTTTTAGGCTGGAAGAGTCTCCATTTGTTCCCTATGACTTTATGAACAGCAGTAATTCACCAGCCAGCCCTCCCGGATCGATTGGGGACGGCTGGCCCCGTGCCAAATCGCCTAACGGCTCTAGCAGTGTTAACTGGCCCCCAGGTACTCAGCGGCCTCTGCCGTGCCCCCGGGTCACGGCGGGTGGGAAACGGCCTCAGGAAAGCTGAGAGCAGTAGTTACTGTGCCGAGAGAAGTGCGTCTCCCTGCTCCGAGGTTGTACCCTGGGGAGGCAGGACCGGGAGAACTAGAAATGAAGTGAATAGAGGGAGAAGATGACTAAATTAAGTAAATGCTTAAAATTGAGGGTTTGGATTTTCAGTCATTAAGAGATGTATTGTTTAGACAGCCATTTTCTTTTTTAAAAATTAAATTCAAATAAGCTGCTTTTCTGCCTCCGTATTCCTAGAGTTTCGTCCTGGTGAGCCATGGAAAGGTTATCCAAACATCGACCCTGAAACTGACCCTTACGTCACTCCTGGCAGTGTCATAAACAATCTCTCAATTAATACTGTGCGGGAAGTTGACCACCTCAGGGACAGGAACAGTGGTACGTTCACTTTTCTGATGGTGCTACTGCTCTTCCCTCAGCCACGGCGAGAGACTCTACTCTGAGACGTGTTTTGCTCCTTGCTCATCCCCCTGTGTATCTTGTGTGGTGGATTTCACGGACACAAAGCTCATCTTTGGCTTGAGCGCTGCTGCCTGATGCAGTGCAGCAGATATTCCAGGAATGCGGGCAGAGCTCCGCGTCCTGGTGTAATTCTGTGTGCAGAGGCAGCGTGTTTGAAAGCAGGAGAGCAAAACTTGGCACTGGCCATCGCAGTGATGCAACGGGCTC